AAACAAAAATTTTATTGCAGATTCGGGGTCCCCTCGCCGAGCACAGCACGACCCTGCCCTCAAAAAAAAATAAAAATAAAATTCTGGGCTGTATTTTGTCCCGCCCGGTTTGCCCGGGCGACCTGCCCGGGCCCCGTAGCTCGGCCGGGCGGGCGTCCGTACTCAGGTTTATACCAGTTGAATCCGCCAGGATTTCAACTCATGGTCTGTTTGCTGACAGCTATATGTGAGAACTTTCCAGTCAAAAAAAAAAAGAGCCAGACTGTTTGTCGGTTTCTGGCAGGCAAGGAAAGAGAAGGGGGAATGCAGTTCAATGCACACAGACTCTAGAGTCTAAACGGATCAAGCTCGACAGTTCACACCCAAGCGATTGGACACTTGTTGTTCTGCTTTACTCAAGTCCACACTGTGTTTTCCAAAACCCAATAATGCATCCTGCCTGTGGGAGATAGGGGCAAACTGGCAGCTTTGCTGTGCTGCTAGTGAAAGAGTGGTTGCGATTGTTCTCACCTGAAGCGTCGGCATTGAGAGGAAGTTCTGCCAGCAAAAGGTCTGTGCCACGTTCTTACCATCTCTCCGTACCTTTTGCCATTCCTGCAGATGGACAGATATTGCACGTCGTTGTCAGAAAGACTCAGAATCGTTCTGCCTTTTGCGTAAGAGTGCACATACTACTTCCACAATTTTATTACCTTTCTCCTTTTTTCTCTTTAAACAAGTTCCCCAATTCAGTCGTTCTGCTTCTGCGTTATGCGCTACGGCTCTCGTTCATGCGAAAGCCAAAAGAAAAAAGGATCAGACATATCTTTGACGATTCTTCCACCCCCTCATGGATGCGTATTGGCGGCCAGATGTTTGCCAACTCATCTACCTCCTCGTGGATTCATGTATGTGTCTTTCTTAACGCACTAACTTTATAGAGTTTAAACATTAAACTTGAAGAAAGTCAGAACTTAATCGTCTCGGCCCCCCTTCCTACGGAACCATCATGAAAATTGAAAATAGGGCCGCAACGTCTGGAAGACAAAATTATTTTCCTCTTTCCAATTCCTTTCCCATTTTCGGCCCGCCCAGTTTGCCTAGGCCAGTCTGGGCTTGCCAAGGCCCGACAGGCAGCTACGGTAGCATAGCATAGACGACTTCAAAGGTTCAACCCCAAGAGAGATCTAATAACAGGATAAATTTCATTTACTTTTTTTTTTTCCATCTCTATCTATATATTCTAACTTCTAAGTATCTTATTAATTCGATTTTATACTAATATTGATAACTAATTAAGTTCATACAAATCATATGACTTCCCTGCTGATTGTCCGCACCGACACATTTGTCATTTGGTCGGCGGATACTCAGCGCCGTTCCCAGCATATATCCAGCTTTTCGATGGCAAGCAAAGTTGAAACAGGGGAAAAAAAACAGCAGAGCTCTGATAGATCAGTTATGGCGAACCAAACTGACGACAGGTATTGACTCTCGCTCGAGTCATTGAAGTTTCCTGAAATGTCAACAGTTTGGTCAGCAGCCATTAAAAAGGTAAGGCACAATGTTTTTTTTTTTTTTTGTGGTGGGCACACAGTTTGGACAGCACCCTTCCGGACAGTGTCTAGCTGTCCAAGTTAGTCCAACCAATAAACAACCGGTGAGACAAAGGGAGGGGAGGTAAAAGGGAGCTGGGGATAGAGGAAAGGAGGAGAAGGACAATCGAAGAAGACATGGAAAGGGGCACATCCTTACATCATAAGCGCAAAGCAAGGCAAAGTGATCACTCTGGGAGTCGCCGGCAAAGCTTGCTTTAGCTTCATCTGCCTCCTGCATTAGTGAAGAGCGACAACACCAGTCTGCCACAATAGTGAATCAAAAACTTTCGAAGCACAGTCCATCGGACCCCATGCATACTTCAACTACTCTCAATTTCTAATACTCAGGAATGCTTTCCTTTGGTAGCCGGAACAGCAAACAAAAAAAACAAGAAAACGAAACAAAACTTAAAAAAAGAGAACTAAGGCTGAGGCCGCAACGAGCGATGAGAACAACAACAAGAAGGAATGGAGAGGTGCAAAGCCCTGACAGTGGATAAGGAGCCACGGCCACAAGGACCTGCTTAGTAGTGTTTACTATTAAAACACAAAACAAAACAAAAAAAAACGAACGATTGAGCCAGCAGGGTGAGCCCCAGAGAAAGACCATGGTTTGGGGGGGTGGGCCCCTTTTTGCAGCCCCCCCCTTGGTAGACGACCAATGCCACAAGGGCTAGGCTGTTTCCCTTTTCTGATCTGATGTCCCCCCTTCTTTGGATGTACAAACATGCTTGCCGGTGATAAGCTACCGGACTGTTGGCCCCCAGAATAGAAGGGGCTTTGTTGTTTAAAAAAAAAAAAAAAAAAAAAAAAAACTGTTGATAAGATAAATTGAATACTGTTCCAAAAACAAAAGGAAGAACAGTCAGAGAATTGTGGAATGACAACAACATGCATGGCCTGTGTGTGTCGTAACAACAGGCAACGGACGGAATTAAACGCCGTTGTACCCGTTGAATAGCCCCCGAAGTCCCCATTGAATCCTGTTTAACGGAAAAACGGGGGTCTCCCGTTGAATCCGACAAAACGGATTGGGGGCGTTGGGCCTCGGACAAGTGGCCCTACGCGCCCAAACACTACAACCAGAAAAAAAGTTAAAAAATTGACCCTCCCCTACGAGTCCCCAAACCTACCCGGAAGCCCTTTAAACCACCACAAGCCCCAAATCCCCCTTGCCCCGCCCAACCCATCCTGCCGTCCTCAAACCTACCCGGAAGTATGTGTGTGTTTGTAAGTGTGTGTGTGCGCGCGCGTGACTGTTGGTGTGTGTGTGTGTGTGTGTGTGTGTGTGTGTGTGTGTGTGTGTGTGTGCATGTGTGTTTGTGTTTGTGTGTGTTTGAGTGTCATTTGTCTGTGTGTGTGTGTGCGTTTCTTTTTCTCCTTTCTTTTAATTGTTTTTATGTTTTTGATTTTTTTTTTTAAATACCTGAAAGTTCAAAAAAAAAAAAAAATGTTGTTCTACATCTTTGAAAGATCTACAACCTAGGCTACCAGTGGCCCGGGTCCACTTGCCCGGCCGGGCTAAAAAGAAAAACAAAAAAAAAAATGATTTTAAATTTTATTTTAAATTTGGTAAAGAATTTCGACGTGAAGCTGTGGCAAAAGTTGTTCATTTAATTTTTCTGCATAACATAGTTTTTTTCCGGATTTTTTGTTTTTTCTTTTTTTTTGGCTGGGCCCTTCCCTAGTCCTTGCACGGCCGGGCCGCCCGGGAAAATAGGGTGACTCGGGGGTAGCCTAGTGCAGTGACTTGCTGATTTCTGTTGCCGAGATCTGACTGCGAGGTTGTATAGCCGTGTCTTAGGGTCAGGTTCGTAATTTTGGTTGTGTCAGGGACTAACCGCCGGTCTAGTCCTGAGGGAAATTCGTGAGGGACATATCTGCAATTTACACAAAAGTTGCAGGCCCGAGTTCCCCTTAGCCGTTACGGCCCTTAGCAGACCCGGGCTATCACTAGGACAGCAGGCCCATCTGCGCCTTGGGCTGTAGAGACAGGGTAAACGCCGTATAGCCGGGTAGGGCCTAGGCCGAACAGGCCAAACTGATGCAGTACGGGTCCAGTAGGTCTAGGTCTATAGTAGGCTAGTCTATTAATAGGACTGAGCCTGTAGGTTAGGGACTTTTGGCATTTCATTTTCGCGATACAGCGTTCCGGAGCCAAGTAAGTTGGGTGGTGATGATTGTCTACAGGCGGCATCCTGAGACCCTCATCGTCGACGGCAGCCATAGCCAGCCTGCCGGTCTGAGCATCTACCCCTGAGGGTATCTGCGATTGGCTGGGCGGTTCGGAGGCTCTTCGCTGAGCGTATGTGGGTGGACCACTGTCGCCCTTCACTCCTTAGAGATTGTCAGGGCTTCGTCAGTGGTGTGGCAGCCATAGCTGCCATCTTTCGTCAGAGTGACTCATCGGCACTGAAGACTTCATCGCGATTCATGTTCTTCATCCGGATGGTTGGCGCTGGCCTCTGGGAGGCGGATTCAGTGTTGCGCTACTAACTGGGTGTGGAATGGAGAGTGGTGTGTGGAGTTCTGAGGGTGGCGAGACACTGGGATAAACTCTGTAACGATTATTGGTTGGAGTTGGCTCATCATCTGTGTGATTCCGATTGTTATCCTCGCAGGTGTCTTCTTGTGATTGGTTGTTGGGAGTCTGTCAGAGAGTGAGAATCACTGCGTGTCTCTTCCCATCTGTGCATGGTTGAATTCCGCTGCTTATCCTTGTCTGTGTGCAGTTTGGACTCTGTCTCCTCTCCCCTTTGACTGGTATGTATATGGGCGTGTGTCAGACACTCTGTGTGTGAGTGGCGAGAAAATCGTCAGACAACCAAGTTCATAACACAAGTCTACAACCCTAAAAAAATCTCTGTGAAACCAAAACAAAAAAAACACTTATTTCACCTTTTTTCTTTTTTTGTGTGTTTATGTTTTTGATTTTTTTTTCACTATAGTCAAAGCTAAAAAAATAAAAATAAAAATATGGGTTTGTAGACCTCGAAAATATCTACAACGGTAGTACAACCCCTTTTTTTTTTTTTTTTGGATTACTTTTAGCCCACAAAAAAAATGTTCGCGGACCCCGTTGTAACCCGTCTAACGGGCTTTTAACGGGGATTCAACACCATTTCAACGCGGAACCCGCGTTGAATCAAATTTTCGGACACACAGTGCATGGCACATTTGGACACACGACGTCCAAAAGAATCTTTGAAGTCGACACAAACTTCGTCAGCGACGGCTATGGCCGCTCATTTCAGCATGCAGGTAAGTCTTCTCTCTCTTCTCTCTCCTTGCTCTTACTGTCACTTCACAGTCCTCGCTCGTCTCTCAGAATGTCTTCCTCTCCCTCACACTACAACTATGGCCATGGTGCCCAACGCCGATGACTACACTGCGAATACGCTCACTCTCACTGACCTGGCCGCCTCCCCAACGCACAAGACCGCAGCAGCGATTCCACATTGAGTGAACAACAGATTGTGTTCAAGTCCAGGAGCTGCTGGACTTTTATACTTGCTGCTCCGCCTTCTGGGTATCTTCTGCTGGTTATGAGTTGGCTCCCCTTCCTTAGTTTGCTTCTTCTGGAAGCTTATGGATTCTCCTTGGATCTGGCTGCTTGGGTCGGACTGACTGACACCGAGCCTCACGACCTCTGTCCTTGGCTGAGGTTCGTGGTGGCTTCTAAACATAGACTCTTTGACAAATGACTATCATCTAACAGGAACTTCGTACCACGACTACTTAAACCAACCTACCTAGGCTTGCAAACTCATTGTACAAACAAGAGCTACTCTTCTAGAGGACTCGTGAATATTGTACTAGAACTCGGAATGGAACTTGGGACTAGGATCTGGGACTCGGGACTGGCACCTGGGACTTCGGGGACTGGGACCTGGGACTTGGGACTCGGGACTTGGGACTTGGAACTCGGGACTGGGACCTGGGACTCGGGACTCTGTGAATCCTTTCAATTGCCCTAAACAGTTTCGAGGACAACCAATATGGTCCTCCAGAACTGGGTCTCTGACAGAGAAAAATGTAAAAGCTAACAAGCAACATCGCTCTGGTACAATCCCTGCAGTTATTAACTGAAAAATTGTGAAAATCCAAAATCGGAATTTTTTTATTTTTTATTTTTTTCCCCCCCGTAAGGCTAATTCTTTTAAGGCCAACCAATTCAATTACCTGTCGGTACGATACCTGCTACAGCAGGTGGTCGATACCGGCCAGGGGTCAGCCGGTAGCATCAGGACCGAGCTTTCCTTCGATGGGCCAGTCGTTGTGCCTCCCCTCCGGTCCCGCCGCAGGCCATGTTCGTATCTCAAAGTGAAACAAGTTGGCGGGCTTATCATGAGCTAGGTTGGGGCGGTTGGTGGTTTTGGGATCCCGTAGAAAATGCATCTTTGATGCCTTGGGTATTAGCTACAGCTTGTATTCATTCAGTCATTTCATTTCGGTTGAATTCTTGGACCTTCTTTCTAAACATTGTTACTTTTTTATTCAGTCTTTAACACGTCCGGACAATTATCCCACCAGCATCTCACGTTCACGAGTATTCCGTTCAGCTGCGTATCAGAGACACGGTCGGGGTTCAACCAAGGGCTGGCTATTCCCAGTGATCCCCTTTCACGACGAGCTTGAGTCTTCGCAGCGAGTTCTTCACTACGAGTATCTTCAACGGCGTTGAATAAGTCGTGTCCATCTCGTTGTGGACTTCTACATATCTATTTTTTATGGTAATCCGCCTGTTCAAAAAGTAGCAAAAAAAACGTATACTTATTTAGAAAAACAAAAGAGTTTGTTATTATTAATGGAGAAAAGATTGGACATTCTTCTTGTACGTATGAATTTTTGCTCTACTATTTTTACAGCAAGACAGCTTATAAGTCGTAAAAATGTTTGTGAATTTTGTGTTAATAATCAAATTATCCTTCCGCCTAGCTTTCACGTTTCCGGTGGTGATCTTATTTCTATTCAACAAAATTGCAAGTCAACCATCAAACACAGCACAAGAGAAAAAAAATCAAAAAGAGAAATGAGTAGTGAGGGTTCGGCAATTGTAATGTCAGAGAGCACAGCAGTAAGGGTTTTACTCCCAAGGGCAGCTTTGATGGCAATATCATAATTCCTCCCCCTTCCCTGGCAAAAAAAAAATAAAAAAATTGAAAATTTCATTTTTGATTACCAGTTCACTATGTTCAAACCGTGATGATATTTCTTCCTCTTTTTTTTTTTCCTGCTGTAGAGTTTTCTTCTTTTATTCCAAAAAAAATTATGGTCCCTTGATGTAAACATTGTAAAGTGCTAGGCCTCAAAGAAAATGATTTTGAGCTTTGAAGTTCTTATTTCTAATAATAGACCCATCTGTCGGAACCCACGCTTACATCCTAGAAGAAACGTGGAATGTTGATCCATCTGAGGACATACTCACACTAGGGCAATTTTTACTTCATTTCTGGACGTGATTGCGGTCAGATGCATGCCCGTCCGTCCGTAAATACAGTCAGACACATTAAAGATAGAGCCAGTTTGAATACACCCTGAGACTCAACAGTAGTCACGGAAAGGGCGATGATCGTTATTGCTGATTGATAAAAATATCAAATAATCTCAAATTGTTACAGTAAAATTTGAAATGTCAGAACCTTTACATAGAGGGGAGGCATTTGGTACCGAGCTGAGTAGGAAGGCTAAAATCGCTTTCTCCATAGAGAAAAGCCTCAAACTTTGATGATCTTGCCCCCTGGAACCGGACCCCTTGATACTCATGACCACCTGAATTACTTCAGGCATGGTATTGAACCTAATGCAGCCTCTTGCTACAGGGCCCTCCCTCTTAAAACACCAGTACCTCCACGTTTTTAGGCCGTTAACGCGGCGGTGGCTGAATCGCTGCGCCGCGAGGGTCCATATGCATTTGTGTCAGAGCCTCCCCAGAGGGGACTGAAGACCCCTGGGGTACTGGTGGTTTCTGAAAAAATGATTCTAGTCCTCGTGGAGACCAAATCGAGCTCCCAAGCCATTCTTCTACGGATTGAGCGTTGACAGGTGTACGTATTTCACTTGGTGTCCTAAAGCTGAACATGGAGAGATGAAGAGGATATCATGCCCTTGGGAACATCATGCCCTTACGAAGAATGAACACGAGGTCGCAAAACACTCACCTCTCGTTTAGTCATTGGAAGAACAAATGGGTCTTTGTACGCCAGGCCAGCAGCAATCGTCAGAACAGGGGAAAGGCAGGAAAAGATCACGCCCATGAGAAGAAGCTTCCCTATCCTAGGGTCCACTGGGAGAGCAGCAAGATGGCGGCCTGAAAAAAAAAAAAAAAAAGCACCAAAAGAGAAGGAAACGACCAAAGGTCAGACAATGAGAAAGAGGCTTGAGAGGGGAACTCAAATAGATAGCCGGAAAAAAAGGAAGGGTGAAATGTCACATGATATTACTGCACTGATTGCTGTTTAAAAAGTTGTTCTAACTTGTTCATCCTCCACGAATCCCACACCAGATGTTGTTGCTGCCTCTTGGTCACCAATTTGCTCGACCATCTACTAATCTTCCTTGCCTCCCAGATGACCTGTCATAATCAAACCGCCAAACATAGTGAATAAGACAGTCCCTTTTTCTTCGCATCTCTCCGCACTGCAACACACTCACATTAGACGTGCCGATGTTGGTTAAGCTGGTTCACATAGCATACCATAGCCTGAGCACAACGCTATACACAGCAAAAACCGAATATTGTTGTCATATCGTTGCTGTTCCAATGAGAGGAAAGTCCGAAAAACTGTTTGAAAGTGAAAGCGCAAAAGAAACAAGTTCAGGAATCAGCCTCCTGACGAGTCAACAAGACTCCATGACGATGAAACGGTCTGTCGCAGCCCCTCATTTGTCGTTGTCTTCTCCCTCTCTGCCTACGGTTTACCAGGCAGTTCTGTTTGACAAGATAAAAGTCCCTTCAACTGACCATACGTTAACAAACTACTACCGTCTTCCATCTTCCCGAACGCAACAACACACCCTCATTCTGAATGAATATGAGCTACGAGTCCAGTCACGTACCGTCATATTGAGGGTGCGTTGCGTTCAGGGGAGGACAGTAGAAGACAACCTCCTCCCAGTCTCCCCAAACAACGGCGATGCAAAAAGTTACACATGCTCACCAGTGAAAAGGTATTCACCAATTCGCAGTAGCGAATGCAGGTCCCAGGGCTCGATCCCTAGTTCCCCATCTTACCCGTGTACAGTATTGAGGTCAACCCGTAGATTTGAACCTGCGACCTGTCGAAACGCCAGTGGTAGGTAGATTGTCGTAGGTCACAGCTTAGAAGAGATTTGAACTGTAGACCTGTAGGGTAGGAGTCTAGACAGTTCTAAGGTCGTAGCTGTAGACTGCCTGAAGGGTCAAGGTCGTAGCCGCTACTTACCTGAAAGGGCAAAGTCGTAGCTGCGACAGTCCTGAAGGGCCAGCGTAGAGGTTTCTAGAACTGGCCTTTCGGAGCTGGCCTGCGTTCAGCAGAGGCAAGTGGCCAAGTGGTGGTAGTCCACCTAGCCCAGTCAGCAGTCCCAGGTAGCCCAGTCCGGTCCAGTCAAGCAAGTACCGTCTGGGACTGTGCACATCATGGGCCAAGGGATACAGGGCAGACCAACGCAGCGCAGAAGTATAAATCAAGAGGCTGCGTCCAGCCATTCATTCATTCCTGCGGATGCCATGCGGAAGCGCTGCCTCAGCAGCTTGTGCGAGGAGGTCTGCAGTGCGCCTGAAGACGAAGTGGGCAGAGAAGTGTAGTGTAGCGATAGGGTAGTGGCAGCTAGCGCGGCCATAGCCATAGCCTAGTGTGTGTGTGTTGTGTATGAACACTGAGTGTTGCGTGTGGGACATCCAGGGTGATCTCRAGTGTGAACAGTGAGTTGTATGGGCGCACAGTCGCCATAGCCAGTTGGAAGAGAACTCATATCTGGTTACGATATCTTCGAGTACTGTGTGGGCGCATGTCACCAGTTTGCTGTATCGCTGTTTGCAAGCATGATGAAGTGTGAATAAGTCGAGTATAATTGCACTGGTATCGGAGCAGGTACCCGCTGTTCCACGCGCGCGATGTGTGCAGGGCCGAGGTGCCATAGCTGAAGTGCCCGCCAGAGGAGGCCGTCCGCCATAGCGGACCTCGAGGTGGAAGAAGACGCCGCGCACCTGCAACAGGAAGACC